GCACCAAGAGCTTGTAACACTTCAAAGAGAAAGGAAAAATTGAAATCGCATCATATGACCCCTTTAAAAAATGCTAAAAAAGTGGGCGTGGTGCTGCGCAGAGCGGAGGAGGTGGAAGAGGGGAGACAGACAACACACACACAGCTTAGCGTTCTGACAGTTTCATTTCGCTCCCATCGAGTTAAAAACACAAATAAATGCACAGCCATTTGCACTCTGCATCGAAAACATATATATGAACGTGTTGTTGCACCTCTGAGAACTTTTAAAGTCCCCATGAAATCAAAATTTAAGTTTTTTGGGTGTTAGTATCAATATGTTAGTCTTAAGGTTATCTATAAGGCCAGGGTGCAAACTACAGGGGAGCTAGGGGTAGCTCGGCTCCCCTTAATAAGACATGGGCTCCCCTGAAAACGTGATTTGTGACATTTTGGGGGGTCTCAAAAAATATTGACAATGTGTTATTTTGACGTGCAATTTCAGTTTTGTGTAATGTGAACATCGTGGATTATTATGTGTAAAATTGCAAAAATAATAATTCATGCATGACGGCGAATTAAACGTAATTCACTTCAATAAAGATAACTATACATGCTACTCTTGTCATGAGCATCAAGGTGTGGGGGTGCTGCGGTGCAAATTCCACTCATGTTTAGTACATGTTAACTCAAAGATTCGTAGAAAAAATATAAACGCTGGACTCTGTGGTTGATTATGTGTTAAGGTAAGGCATGTTATTCGCAATTATGTGTTGTGGCTGGGTTGTTATAGGTCTGCGTGACTCTCGATGTCTTAGGCCTAATTGAACGGAGGAATTATGGTATTCTTCTGTAGCCTGAGGACGAGTAACTTTAACCGTTGTTCATGTGAACTCAAAGACAGCCTGATGCTTTGTTTATAGACTATTTGTGGGTGGCTGTTTGTTGTTTCACCTATCAATTCGTGTCGATAAAGTATAATAGGGTAAATCCTGTATAGTGATTTATCCTATATAGTGCTTGCATAAAGCAAGTAGTGCATACACTTGTAGCTGTTATGTATCTTTGTAAGTCATTGTAAGCCAACGTGCAAGCGCACAACCCCCCACCCCCCTTATAAAAAATAAAACAAGCGGGCTCCCCCGAAGTCCACGGTATAGTTCGAACACTGTCTACAGTGCTGACATATGAATCAGAAGGCCAAACACAGTAATGGCCATTAGCAAAATTGGATCTTTGCAAATAAACTGCATAGATTGCACTCAGCTATATTAGTCTGGATATGCTAGCCAACATCCAAACACTCCAACAGGAAGCTGTGGTGTTGTTTTCAAAGCAAGGACTGAGATCTATATGCTGAACTGGTTGCATGAGAATGTGCACAACTCATATAAGACATTTTATCCGAATGGAGGGAGGAAATTTGATATATTACTCACCAATGAAGGCAGTGACCATAGGGTTAATAATTCCACTGGGTAGAAGGTGGAAGTCATATTCCACTGAATCAACCACGACTGTGTGTCCTGCATTGTTGCCTCCCTACAGGAGAGAAGAAACAAAGACTTTTCAATCCTTGAGAAGATGACATACAAATCTGGGATAGTTAGTTCACATCAAAAATTCTGTCATTATTTACAGTACTAACCCATGTCATCCAAAATATTATTACTGACTGACTTCATGGAACATAAAAGTAAAATATGTTTTGAGAAATGCCTCAGTGTTTTTGTCCATACAATGGAAATCAATGCGATCCAATGTTGTTTGGGCCTCAAATATCATCTTTTCGTGTTCCACAGAAGAAAGCAAGTTTTTGGGTGAACTATCTCTAACTATCCCAAGCATTACTATGGTATGGTATAGACATGCTTAGACATGCAGTTGTGAAATGGAAAATTTGAAGCATGTAAACAACACTGATTTTGGTTGCTAGGTGTGGATTTAATGTGAGAATAGCTCTATTGCTCAATTAGACAAGATACATGTAGGAAACCAGACGGAATCCATTTAACATTTTCTGTATGAATTTTGTCTTGTATCCTTCAGAATAGAATTAAACATGGTAAAATGCATTAAAGGGGTCATCGGATGCCCAATTTCCACAAATTTATATGATTCTTTAGGGTCTTAATGAAAAATCTATAACATACTTTGGTAAAAAATTCTCAATGGTAGTGCAAAAAACACCCTTTTTACCTTGTCAAAATCAGCTGTTTTCAGAGATTTTATTTGTCATTCCTTAAAGGCACAATATGTAATTTTCGCCGCTAGAGGGCGCATATTCAAAATAAACAATGAGGCAAAGGCGTAGTTTGATGACGCCGTGACTGAGTGTGGAATCATGGGCGATGCAATCCGATGGGACTCGGGCAGAAATCATGTTCATGGATGAGCTAATGATTTATTAACATAGTAGAATGAAGGAGGGTGAGGCTGAAAGCCGTCGAAGCGAAACGAGGCCGCTGAACGAGCGCGACACACGGCTCGAAAGCAGCAGAGCTTTTATTATGCCACAATCAACCGCTTCTGCTCCTTCCGGTTGTGCGTATGTGGAAAAAAAAGCAGCGCTGTTTTATCATACTAGATACATTTGAAAGTTCTGTTATAATGCTACTCTGTGCGGTCGTCACCGGTCTATTAAAACGCACAACATATTAAAGCGTCTTTGGTGTTTCCATGTTTTCTACAAAACAAAACCGGAAATCGAGGGGTTATGACGTCATTGGCAGACGACACAATGACACTATGGACACGGTCCGTGTCACTAGTTAAAATTGCTTATTTCTCTGGATTTAAACATTCTTTGAAACATTTGGGATAATGTAAGTACACAAGTCAGCAAAATATATAACACTGTTCTAGTGGTTTTTGGATATTTTAATAAAAAAATCTTACATATTGTGCCTTTAAAGCTGTAAAATTACATAAAGAATGCAAACTTGATTCCTTCCTTGTTGACACGTGACTAAAGAGAAGGGAAACCATAGATTACAGACTCAGAGCACACTTGGCATGCCAACTGTTACCATCGTCAAGAATCATCAAGAGTCCTCACATATGTCTGTTTTCAACATGGCGTCAATCAGCTCTGACCTCATGTCACATCCGACGGAGTTCTCACAAAGTGTGCTTAATAAATCAGTCTTTAATCCAGCAAGGAACAGGGCAGAGCTATTTCAGGACAGGTTTCCTCTGACCAGTTTAGTAGTGTGTGTGTGGATGATGCCTCTCCTTTTTAGATCCATTTACGAAGTTCTCATACCCATGGTGACCAAAAGCGTTGCTGGAGGCACAATTATGGGCTCCTATTACAAGGTTGCTTTTGATTCTAAGGGCCCAGCCTGGGGGAGTTTTTTTCTTTGAATTTATACATCACATTGTTCATAACAGCATGCTGACAATTCAGAAACTTGGGAAGCATTGGCTTCATGTAATGAATGTGGTTTCATTACACACAATTGGTGGTCCACCTCCAAATAATCTCTGGATATCACACATTTACATTTAAGAACATAGAATGTAAAGAATGTCTCTGTAAGAAATCTCAGCAAGCATAACATTAAAAGATGAATTTGTTCTAAACTATGTGTTTTTATGCAAAAAATTGATTGTGAAAAGTTTGTTAATGTCAGCAAATATATTAGTTTTTTTCCCCTTTGGAATATTTTGGAGAATCAATTAGTGCATATTGTAAATAGAGTCAATTTTGATTTCATGTTGACTTTAAACTAACTTGTATTTATACTACATACAGTATTAATTTCTAGAGAAAAGACGTTTTGTTTGTTTCTGAGAAAACTCGGAAGAGCCGAGTCATATTTTGAGTCAATACCCTGGAACATTTCTTTCATATGATGTTTGTCACATTTGCTCTCATGACTGTCTCTGGGGTTTCAGGCCGTGTTGGATGGCATCCAAACCTGTGTTCCAAACCTGGCATGCTAAAAGTGGCTAGAGTGAGTGATCTACTCCACCGTCTGTTTGAGGAGGAACAAGGGGTTGAGGAAATAATACAGGGATTTCTAGCAAAGTTACCACCTTATCACACACAACGATCCATCAGCATTAAAAATGTAGCTGAAAAAGTACCAAACCAATTCCATGAAATAGACTGATTAAATATTGTTTTCAGTGGTGAGATTATACTGTTGTCATGTTCTATCTGGTTTGCTTTTTGTTGGCTTCTCTGAATAAAGAGTTTTGTTTTGTTTTGTTTCACATTCTTTCTTGGAAAAGAAAGAATCACTACAACTTCTGAAAGTGACCAGCAGTGTTTTAGCATTACTTAAAAAGTAATGCCACAAATTAGAAAATGTAATTTTAACATCAGTGTGAACATACAAACAAAAAAAAATTAATGACACAAATTTTATATCATTGTAACTTTGCTTTCCATACACTTTAAGTACTTCTTCATATACCACAGCAAAAACTATAGTCTGAGAAAGTTCAAACATGATTAAAGGCAAGTGAACAGTCCGTAAAAAAAAAAGAAAGAAAAAGAAAAAAAAGAAATACGCAATTTGCAAGCATAGATAAAATAAACAGAAGTATTCAGATACAGAAATTTAATAATTAAGTGCAAAATAACACTGCACAGTGTTCACTGTATGAATTAAATTGAGATTAATCTTTGTTATAGCTGTTTTGTTGTTTGATTAACATTAGTGGCATATTCAGCAGCAGGTATAGGCTGCAGTCCCTTTAAATCCGACTGCACGGATCCAGTATCCGATGTCTTTCTCAGCTGTTTACATTCATTTAAAACATAACCGACTGCGGTTACGAGAATGATCGTCGAGACAGGTACTATTGACAATTCTGTGTGTATGTGTCTGTTCAAACATAAGGAGGAGATGCGAAAGACGAATCAACTCGGTGTTCGCGCGCCATCTGAAACGCGTCTCTCTGTGTGCGCGCGCTTTGCACGTGTGCTGCAGAACTGAAGAGACGCTGTGCGAGATGCGGCTTGTGCGTGCGCTTCAGGTGTGAGTCAGACAGCAAGACGAGACGGCAAAGAGCTGTTTTCTGCAACTTATTGCACTTAACTCTTTTTAACGTCAAGCAATTCTCTGCTATATGCGTCAAACTAAAACTTTGACCTTTTGCAATGTTTTGATTTAAGTAGCCTATTATTAAAATGATTCAGATATCGCACGCCCTTGCGATATGCATATTGCGATATTTACATTTGCGATATTTCAATATATCGTGCAGCCCTAATTGGTAGCGCGATTTATTGTAATGCTTTTTTCCTCCGTTGGTCAGAACAAAATGGCAGACTTGTAACTTACTTGTTCAGATAACAATATCCGTTGAAAATTCTTATTTGGGTCATACTTCCAAGACGTAGAATCTGTGATTCCGAAGTACAGTGAATATCCACACCGGTGAAGTTTCTGCCAGCCACACATACTCCTCAAAACATTAGATTCATCTGCGCTGGAGCTGTGCCGGTGCACGACCCACGTTAAGAAAATAATTCCGCAAATAACTGCAATTGCAGGTTTTAAACAAACAGGCAAAACGTACAGACTGCAGCTTTAAATTTATAAGCCTGTCTCAAATTCACAAGAAAGGACTGATGGCACTCAAACCTCTCTAAGATGATGAAAGAAACATTCCAAGTCAAAAAAAGGTTTTAGAAACTGCACTCACAAAGGGCAACTTCTAGGTAATGAACCAGTTTTAGAGCGGAGCATACTGTTAAAAAAAAAACGGATTATTTCCACTTATTCACTTATACTTTCTTATCCACGTCTGTATTTCAAGCTTTAAAATTCCCTGACCTTTCTTTTTCTGCAGCAAAACAGTCCTTTAAAGATGCACTCCATTTTTCTTTGTGTCATCATGGACTTTATGGACTTAAGTTTTCCTTCACCAATGCCTTTGCAGAAATCCATTATTCCCAGTCAGACCCAATTCTTCAAAATTACTATTAATTTCTTTGTGTAAAACTTTTTAACTATAAAAATACTGAGAAGAAAAACAGAAATTAATCAGCTGATAAAAAAAAATGTAATCATACAACACTTCCTGTTATCAAATAAAGCACTGGAGACTTGAATGACACTGGGTTTAAAAATGGCACCTTAATAAGTTGATTTTAAGGTTTTAGTATTTGTTTTTAAATCACTTCATGGTCTTGCCCCTATACTTATATTTCAGATCTTCTCCATTCCTACTCTCCTGAGAGAACACTTAGATCTTCCACCCAGATGTTATTAAATGTTCCAAAATCTCGACTTAACTCCAAAGGTGACGGGGCTTTCTCAGTTCTTGGTCCAAAGCTCTGGAATTCCCTACCATTGTCTATTAGACTATCCCCTACTGTATCCACATTTAAATCTTCTCTTAAAACATTTTTTTTTTTCTCAGGCATATGCTTAATTTGATAATATTTTAGCTTTAATTTTGTTTTATTTTGCATGGTAATGTTTTGTTTTGTTTTAACTTTATTCATTTTTGTTCTGTTTTCTTTTGATTTATTTTATTAGTATTTAAATTGTATTGTATGAGGATGTTTTTGTCTCGTATGTTGTGCAGCACTTTGGTCAGCATTTATGTTGTTTTAAAGGGCTATATAAATAAACTTGACCTTCACCTTAATTATCAGTAAGCAACATACTTAGACTCACTGATAAACAAACAGCTGCACATTACAGTTAACATGTCCACTGCAACACTGCAGTCAAGAGATTTCCACAGAGACTCAATTATCAAGCTGACATTAATGGTCAAGATATTTTAAGTCATTTAAGTTAAAATATTTTAGTAGTAGATATATTCTTTGAAGCAAACTGTGTCAATTGCAAAGTCAATATAGCAAATCTATATGATTACAGAACTTATCTGTAAGAGCAACAGATGGCCTTTCATTCTCGTCAGACTTGGTGTTACAGTAGCAGACCAAGAAAGAAATGTAATACCAAAAGTATAACTTGACTAAAGGATGCTCATATACACTCCTCTAGATGGTTATAAAGCTCACAAAAATCTCAGTACGTTCCTGCATAACAGGTTAGACTGAAGATAGCATCTGGTTATCATCATAGATCTGGAGACACAGGTTTTCCCACATGCATGGAAAACCATAAACAATAAGCAAGCCACAAGAAGCACATGATTAATATAAGCCTACAATACTACAATGTGAAACAAACCAATTTGTTAACAGATAAAACAGATTTATAGGCTGACATGAGAAGAGGCAATTTAAAAATAGGTTAATCTGCAAATAAAATGTTAAGGGCATTATTATAACAGGTCATGCATTGTGTTTGATCCTCTGGTTTCTGGACCGACATATTAATTTGGTGTGACATGGAACAGCATGATGGTCTTTTTTCCATTCCATCTGCCTGTAAGGAAAACCAGTCAGACTGCTGAGTGCTCTATTTTTATAAAAAGACCAACACTATCTGCTTTCTGTCCCATCCATTTGCACAGCACACACGACGGTTTGCATAGTGCAGCACCGAGTGTCTTGTTTAATGCAGTCACAACCTTGGCAGAAAACAAACTTCTTAGGAGAGAATCCTTGCAATGTGAACCTGTTATCAATACCATGCATAGTGACAGGGGGCGTAAAGCGGCCTGCTATCACTGCTCTCTAGCATAACACAACCACTGGTGTGGTGCCATTTCCCCATTTGTCCATAAAAGTCTTCTCTTGACAAATCTAAACATTATGCTATATATTATAATTATGTAAGTGTAAACATAGAAGTATTTAACCTACTTAGGGAATCTAAAAAGAAAAACATGGCATACACACACACACACACATATACATATACACATACATACAGTACATACATTCATATTTCATGATTTTTGTTATACATATATATCATATATCTAACAGTTTTGCAGTACATGTTAAGTGAGAGCACAGCAGCGTCTGAAAGCCATGAGGCTGAAATAGTGGCACCTGTTTCTTTCTGACGGACAGTGTGAGATGTTGACACATGGAGCCATATGCTACATAAACCTTTCTTTAGTACTCTGAACAACTGCTTAACAATATATGTGTATTTTGTAACAAATATATATATATATATATATATATATATATATATATACACATACATACATACATACATACACACACACACACTTGGCCTGGGGCATTTTACATAATAAAACAATTTAGGACTATAAACCTTTAACACAGTTACCATACATTTTCATCAATAAATGATGAACATTTTAATATTTTTTGCAATTACTTTGCAAATACTCCAGAAAGAGCTATTTCAAGCCAATTAAATATTTTAGACAATATTAGAAAACTCACATTAACAGTAGTATATGTGTGTACTATATGTGTGTACACAGTAACAAAAGTATGTGTGTGTGTTTAGTCTATAAAAAACATTCTAGCAATTGACTAAAAAATGTAGCTATTTTTAAAGCAAAGTTGTAGGACATCATGTCTGAAGAATCAGCGAGCTGCAGGATTGTGTACATTTATAACACATGGGCACATGAGACAACTGTGGAAAATCAAGTAGCTGGAGGTTAATGTTCTGTAAAATCAACTATTATTTTAATTATTAACACTTGCAACATCTGCTTTGAATGTACAGGTGCATCTCAATAAATTAGAATGTCGTGGAAAAGTTCATTTATTTCAGTAATTCAACTCAAATTGTGAAACTCGTGTATTAAATAAATTCAATGCACACAGACTATACTCAAATAAATACCACACCTTCGGGCGTCATAGACTTCAAAGGAGTCCTGCGCCTGTGTTTACATCCTTTGCAAAACACCCCGGATATTCCAACATTAACTGATGTGCTAAATGCCAGATGTCATTTAAGATTGCAAGGCTAACGTACACTGCGCTGGCCTACGCTCAGAAATCACGCTGGCTTTAATATCACATAATTCAGTCAAGGTGACATTTGCAAATACCCTAACGTTACATGGTACACTGCTAGCGAAGCTAAACAAGTAGGCTGCATAATAATCGACGTCGCTCGCGTGCAGGCAGCGTAGTTGATAATAATGGAAGCGCGTAGATGCGAGCTATAATGTCCATTTCCGCTTTGATAATACAGCAGCTAACTGCTTACTAAGAAAGTCCTGTAATCACATACTGCAAGAGCTTTCACAGCACTTAACATGCATTCAGTACTCCACAGGCTACTCTCTGATCAGCCATGAATATTTCCGTACAAACAAGCTTGTTGATGATGTACACAGCGCATCACAACTAACGTTACACAGCACACCGGGGATATATTCAAATATTCAAACACTGCAGTTCACATAAACCAACCTGACATCTGCAGACCATGTCAGCGTCCTGGGCCAGCAGGTCCACCACCTTTCCTTTCCCTTCATCGCCCCACTGTGCTCCGAGCACCACGGTCACTTTGTTGCCCACACTCGGGCATGTCACCCGGCTCGATCCTCCGTCCTGCGACTGTGCGTTCCCGCTGTCTGACATGACCGTCTCCCCTCTGCTCTCCCTGCAGCTCCGCAATGCTCCTCCGACACACGCTCACCTGAGCAGACACCGAGGGCGGAGCCTCCTCGCTCGCTCGCTCACTCACTCACTCACACACACACACACACCACTCCATATAACTTACAGCGCTTCACTCACATACACACAGTAGTCATTAAAGTACTCTGTGCTTTAAAAATATATTTTTATATAAATAGAACTGTTTTACCTCATATTACAAGCAACATATAGGCCTCTGTACAACATTTCCCAACTGTATTTATTTATTTATAATTTGTTTGTTTAAACGTAAACTTCCAACCGTCGGCTGTGCAGTTATTGTTATTGTGCAATAGGAAACAGCGACGCCCGAAGCCTAAAGCGAGTATTACAGCTAATCGCTTTGGTTATCTCTTAGCTTTTGTTACCTTTTTAGTTACACCAAATAACGGGAAAACACAGTGGAAAAAGATGTTGGGATTTGGGGTATTGTTAACATACATTTTATTTTTATATTTTCAAACTGTCGTCGGAATTTGGAGGTAAATTATTAACCAACTAAACTCCATTGATCTTTGGGCACTTTTAGTGTCACAAAGCTAAGCTATTGATATGTAAATTATTTGTGATTGCTGTTACTGTTTGTTTATTATCAGATACAAGCAGATTTTGGAGGATAAAGAGTTATTCATCGTAGACAGTACTGTAAGTGAACATAATCTTTTACAAAAATCACTATTGTAACCACTAACGTTACCACAAAAAAATACCACCGCTAAAATACAGTGTCTTCAATTGCTTTAGACCGCTTTCGCCTTATAATCATCCTCGTCGATTTATTTCTGATGTTTTGTTTAATTTCTGTAACTATATTTTGGTGGTTGCTATTGTAAGTAAGGGGTGATGTTGTAAGGGATGATCTTGTTCATTGTGATTTTAAGGTTAGTCATCTGACGCCTAAGTGAACTGCTTTCTCACCACCAATATAAAAACATAAATAGGTTTTTATCAAAATACGAGCATGTAGTTTTATTTGCATAATAAACCACAAATATTATGTTTCATGCAGATTTTTTTAGAGTACGAAGGATCCTCTTTTTTGGAGTGGCAATATCCTGATGGTTGTGATGTGAATAATAAGAGGTAATCCACATATTTACTTAATAAGTATGATAATTTTCTAATGTATAGCTTTATTAATATGTATTTATGTCTAATCAATTAAATTTAAATGTATTTCTTCGACAAATTGATCCAATAAGGTCACCTCATGCTGTTATGTGGTGTAAATCCCCTGGATTTCAAGCTGTAAAGCCACTTGTTTCTGTAAGTACACACAAATATATCATGAGGTTTCACGTATTCTTTTCATCAATTAGCATTTTCAAATATTTCATAATTTCATTGCAGGATGTGTCTACAGAAAAAGAAGAAGAGCGACACCTTTATATAAGTGACTCATTTTTCAGGCTTGCGTGGTATGCTGTTATTCCTTTGCTCAGGTTTTAACCAGCTCAACTTCTTTCAGCTTTTATTGCACTATAAAATGTCAAGAATTGCTTAAGTGAGAAAATACTTTGAATAGAAATATATATGCAAAAGTTTTTTTTTCCCCCATGTCCATCAGAAATTCACCTGAACATGACCCCCAGGTGAGAATTGTACTCTAATCAGAAACCTTTGCTAGATGCGAACCTGCGTCACATGCAGGTTGAATTGTTCACTTGTATAAGACCATGTGGTTTATAATGCTTTTTGGTGTGTACTGTAGACTGTCAAAATATGGATCATTGATCCGGACCGAGCAGATGAGGCTGAAATCAAAAACACAGCAATGATTCCCTCTGTAGTAAGTCTTCTTCTTAAAAATCCTATGTAAAATGTTGGTTGTGCATTGATTATTGTAAGTGCCTGAGAATAAATCTCTGTACCTTTCCAGTATTTCAGATATCTTACTAAGTGTTTAATAATCGGAGGAGAGTTTGCAGTCATCGAGTTGTCTTCATTCCCTCAGACAAGCCAGAGTTATTTTACAAATCAGGGGTAATGCGATTCACTTCTATTCAAAGTCAGGCTTTTTCCACGTTTTCTCACTTTTTAAATATATTTATTAATGTTCAATAAATATATTTACAATAATGATCTGTATAGCAACCTTTCACAATCATGATTTATTTCAGGTTTTGGGAGGCTCGCCTTCTTGGTGTCAATGAATATCATCATTTTCACATAACCAGTCAGTCAGTATCTTTTCATGGAAAATCTGTTGCTTCTAGTCAACATGTCTTCTACAGGATATCCCCAGAGAAACCATATGGCGACAAAAATGTGTCCTTATGCCTGCCAACTGGTAGTCGAATGTCGATAGTATGGGATGCATGTACCCCTCACCGAGCCTTGCTCCTGTCTGACAAAGGCACATTCATAACGAAGAATGCTTTCCTCACTTATGAGGAGATAAAGGTTGATCCTGGAGAATTGCTAATGCCAGCTGAGGGTTATTACGTTGTTTTTGATGCCGTCTTGTTGGAGAATGGCTCGATTTTCCGCATAGGAGATGCTCTTTTCTGGAGGGACAACGAGGAAGGAATATTGAGGAGGAATCCTATGAAACTGCTAGGTGAAGGGGTTAAAGGCCTGAGTTTTAGGACTCAATGTGCAGATTACTACCCCTTGCTAGTGAGTGTCTTCCATTTGTAAATATCAGTTGTTTTTTCTTAATATTAGGTTACAAAAATGTTGATTTGTCTCTTGAATTTCACTTGCAGGGGTCTGAACTTGCCACAGTTCTTGCATGGACAGACCATGAGCTTTATAAAGGTGGGAAAGCTCTGGATTGGAAGACTAATAGCAGCTACATGTCAAACATACTGAGTCTTCCCCAAACTACTACTATCCTTACTGCTGCATTTGGATCCCATCTAGCATCTTTGGGTGCACTGGTGATGGACACAGACTCTGTACAACCCTCCCTGCTCACATGCTATGAGACTGAAGGCATCTGGAAAACCAGAACTTTACTGAGTACAAATGGTCTCCAAGGGCCATTTCAGATGCTCTTTGTCAGCGCAGCCTTGGAAACTCTGCTGGTGTGGAACAAAGACACTATGCTTTATAGTTTTCACAATGATAGTGAATGGCGTTACCTGCGAATAATGGATTCCTCCAACATAAGCCAAGAAGCAAGTGGTAGCCACATTCACCACGTGGTCATGGGTGAGTGGAAGAAATCAGATTATCAGAAGTGCCAGCAGTTGTATTTCCTTCAAAATACATTTGAAATTCAAATAAGCTTGATTTGTATCTCTAATAAGAGTTTGATTTAAGATTAAAGCTAGTTTACATCAAATAAAATGATCTCATGTTCCACCTTTTGTGACTTTGCTCTACAGACCGCTCACGGAACATGCTGGTAAAGATGGAGAACAACGTGCTGTTCTTCTGTAAATTCGGCATGAATAAACTGTTTCGGCTGCCCACCTGGAATGACCCTGGACATTCTGTAGTGCTCTACCTAAACCAGAAAGAGCAGATCATTATGCTGACAATGTTAGATGGAGGTTTGCATGTACAGAAGTACCCTTTAAAGATGGAGATCAGGAGTGCCATGCGAGGGGAGGTCCACAGCTGTCCCTTTATTGGCTTCACACACAACATGAACAAGCCTGTATACTACATCGACAAGGAAGAGGCCATTGAGTTTTGGGCCCAGGTAAGTTAGAGTAGACCTATGTATGTATGTACCCTGATGTATGTAGCTCATACATCACAAGAGAAGTTACCAAATGTGCTATGCCATGGTAGAACCAATTGGGGTTCCCCAAAGAAGTGAGCAGTTCATGAAAGAAACACTTTTTTTGTGTGAAGAACACACTCCGAACATAATCTGAAGAACCTTTTCCACTACAATGAACCTTCTGTGCAATGGAATGGTTTAATGGATGGTAAAGGTTCTTTGTGGAGCCATAGATGCCAACCAAATATTTTTATACTTATGTATTTCCAGATAGTCTACCATGAAGGTAAAAACATTAATGTGACGCTAAGCAGGAACAAAGACCATGTGTTGCAGATCACAGAAAGGACCCATTTTGAGAGTGTGCGCTATCTGGATACAACAAACAAGGTCTGGACAAGAAGGGTCTTTTAGAAAAGCCAGTCTTCATTGAGCTGTGTTTAAATACTATTTAGATAGTCAGTTGTTTGTGATGCTTATATAAGCAAAGTTTTTTGTTTTTTTTAAATGCCTGTCTCTTTTCTTTTTCCAGACCTTTACCATTTATCAGGATGCAGACTACAGAGACATGACTAACAACTCTGATCTCATGTGAGTGTTTTTTTAATGGCACATGAATGAATGATTCTTGTACAGATAAATTTAACCATATTAGTTAAGACAACTAGTTCTTCCAGCTATTATAACAACCATCTTGTCCTAGAATTAAAAACAGCCGAAACTCAAGTGATATAGTCACTATGGAGCTGCTAACAACCCAGATTGATAATTCATGCAATCTGCCAAAAAATCAGGTACATTTTTTGGCTGCTGGGGGGTTACTGAAGATTTTCCTTTTTCTTATTTGTAGAAAAACATTTCCTGATAAGAAAGCAACTGTATATAGATACTTTACCACTAAATAAGGCATACATTGTATACATGTTTGTAGATTTCCCATTTCTTTGTGGGCTGCCCACCAAACAGACACATTCGTGTTATAAAGTAAGTGTCATCTGATTATCTAACAATATCGTTTAGAATGTTATCCTACAACCATCTACTGTAGCTGTTTAAACCTTTTGACCAGACTTATCGTGTTGTTCCTTGTAGACCACAGAGAGTTCCATGTAAGATGCACGTTTTTGACAGCTATACCATTCCAGGGTAATATTCACTAAAACATGACACTTAATAATAGAATACATTGAATTTGATTAAGTCCTGCTTTATAATTTTCCCAATTTATCTTTTACAGATTTGTACTTGGTAATTCATCAAAGGATCTGGTGAGAATCCGTCCTGTGTATTTGTAGATAATGATGCTGTCATTTAATCAGCATCACTGAGATAAGTATGAGAAGCACAGTGTTGTTTTT